CCTATTGTGTTGAAAAAGATTCGCAAATGATCCTTTTTCATTTTTTTTGGTGAGGGGATGTTAAGTTAACCCCATATTTGTACCCTCACCTCAGATTTTATAAGTATATTTTCAGTACCTTTTGTATTTTATGACGTTGGAATCTTAATAACTTCTTTATTTCTTGAATATGCAGATTGTGAGATATATATTGTTTTTATAACCAGATGAGTCAGGGCCAGTTCTCAGAAAAGAACCTTCCCTTCTGCCCCCATCTCCTACCTGGTCCCTGATGCGTAAGCCAAACAAACACTGTTTGACAGGTGTGAATGATGTTAGCCAGTTCCATAGTCGCTGGCCAAAATAAACACTGTTTGACAGATAAGTGTGGATGACATTAACAGGGTCTGTGAATGATGCATACCTTTTTTGGGGGCCAACATGTGACTCAACATATAGCAGTTTTCGTTTCGCACGTGTTGAGGTAACAACAACCACACATAGTTGCTGGCTGTCGGAGGAGTCGGATGTCACCAAAAACCAGTCTTAGCTATTTGCCATTAGAAGAAGCAGTGGTCACCAAAACCGGACTTCGTTGTTTGATGCCATAAGAATTAGATGCCATCAAAAACCAAAGGACCGACGCGAGAATCTAAATCAACATCGTCAACCCAAGTTAGCTATATTCCCGTGATTTTTCTGTGTGTTCTCCTCGCCATCAACACGGATTGGATGTTGCCAGTCAAAAATTCATGTTAGAACACTGTCAATCCCATCCGTTACTTTCAAAGAAGTGTGTAAATATCCTTTGAACAAACTGTACCCCAATAATAGTCAATCGACATAAGTGTGTATAGGACGAGCGAATTGCTAGCAAGGCAAATCATTTGAGCATTGGCGCTAGAATGATGAGGCGTATGCATCATTGAGTCAGATAGAGGTTGGCAGCGTGCTCAATACACAAATTCTTTGGTTTGGCAAGAATGTATAAAAAAGGTGAGTGTTTGTTGAGACATAAGAATGCTTTTCTGCTCCACACAGGTCATGTCTGTGCATACTGAACTAGAATCCGTTATGAGTGTGTTTCCAGTGTCTGTGCTACAGAATCCCAGGTTTCCTGCTACAAGCTATTTTGGCACCATTACTATGGCAAATGTGCGCATAAGCAGGGACAGGATAAAGCTATTTACTGGTGAAGGAGACAGTAGTGTGGTTTAAAAAGGTGAGGCTGGTGACGAGACTTCAGCTGGTGGATGATGTTGCAAGTCTGCTTCCATTGTATATGGACGACAATGCACTAGCCCTCTACATGGAGGTGGAGGAAGACAACCAAAGAGATATAGATAAGATAGAGGCCTGGTTGAAAGAAGCGTTATCCAATGGTGCGTTCACAGCCTACAGGAAGCTTACCATGGTCAGGTGGACTGGTGAGCAGGTAGAGGTTTACGCAAACAGAATCATGCAGTTAGCCAGATTGGCTAGATTTGAGGGAGTTGGGCTGGCAAGGCTCACTAAACTGACTTTCATCACTGGGTTCCCTGATGCCATCTCCATCTGACTTCAACAGGTGCCAAACATTGACACTTTCCTATGGTGGACATGATAGCAAGAGCACAATTACTGACAACGATTGGGGACCAAAATCAAGATGCAGTTGCAGCCATGCGCCCACCTCGCAGTAATACCATAGTCCCTACCAGCACCAATATAACAAGACCATTACAAGAGCAGTGGCAAGGGTCACACAGCAAAGGACTGCCGAAAGCATGGAACACATTGTTACTGATGCAGTGAGGTTAAGCAATGGGCCCAGGACTGTTCGGGAAACGAGCCAGGATCGAGGTATCAGTGCATGGGTTTTGACCTGCTGTTGGGGATCGACATGATAAAAGCATTGGGAGACGTTGTTGGGCCATCAGCGCAGATTGGCGACAGGAAAGTCACTATGTGCACAGTCATCTCCATTAATGAATTTTATTTCACTGCCACTTTTGACCATCAGAGCCAACATGGACTGCAGCATAGAAGTAGTCAGAGAACCACACACTGGAAGGACAGCAAAATGAAATGTTTGAATACCAGGTAGCTGCAGAGATCCAAGAAGACTATGAACGGGAGCCCCACATGTAGATAGATAATGGCTGGCTCATATCATACCAGGAAGAAAGGCTGGGGCCTCCCAAAGCGTTAATTAATTCCTCTGATGGCCATACTACGGCAAAATAAAGAAAAGGTGCATCCTACCAAGAACTCAACCATCGCGTTGACACGTACACCGTTAACACAGATGTCTGTGCAGCTAAGCTAGCTGAATGGTGACAGAAAGGTTTGAACTTATCCCTGTTGGACCTGAGGAGAGCATACCTCCATATACACAAGATGCTGCGGCCATTCCAAACTGTGAAAATTGATGGGAAACAGTACTACTTGACACATTTGTGGTTTGGCCTAAATGCCCCCCCACCCCATCAAGAAGGCCATTGTCAGTACAGTGAGGTTACAGGAAGAAGTCACTGACTACGCAGAATCAGCTTACATTGACAACAACTATGTCAACAAAGATGTGTCCACGATCTGCGTCAGAGAACACTTGGCTCAGCTTGGACTGGAATTCAAGGATCCAGAAAGGTTGGAAGACAGCACACAAGTGCTGAGATTGACCGCTGGGATGGAACGCAGTGAATTGCAGTGGAAGTGAGGAAGCATGGTCACAGAAGCTCCTGACATCGTCACATGACAGGCCCTTTCTCCTTGTATGGAAGTCTTGTCGGGCACCTCCTGGTGTATGAGTGGCTTTGTGTGGCTTGTGGAATTATCAAGGGAGAGCCAGTTCAGTCACAAAGGGCTGGGATGATTAGGTGAAGGATACTCTCCTCCAGCATATGTTTGAGACCATGGATGCAGTGAAGCAGAATGATCCGGCTCATAGGGATTGGTGCATGGACGATCAGGAGCTGAACATGTGAGTCATAAGTATGGTGCACAATTACTTTGTCAGGAGAGTTTGCCTGGCAACAACAAAAGCAGCTGTTAAGTCAGTTATACAGGGGTGTGATGATTGCCAATTGATAGACCCAGCACCAGTTCACTGAGAGAAGGGAAAGCTGGAGGTGAAGAGGAACTGGCAGAGGTTAGGAATGGACATGACATTATAATTCACACCATTTCTTAACCCTCACAGACAGTCACGTTTCTCCATTTGGAAGCAGTTGGCAAGGCTCCACAAATGGAGATCATGGCCCACCGTATGAGCTCTTTACGGACAATGACATAGCCTTTTGCAGGAGGGAGTTCAGAACTTTTGCACAAGGATGGGGAATAAGTCTTCAATTCTGTTACACATATGCTCCAGCCGGGAATGTCATAGTGAAGCGATGTCACTATACAGTGAAACAAATTGCAGCCAGGATGCACTGTTCTATTCAGGAGGCTGTCTACTGGCACAATGTGACCCTGAAGGATGACCACTCACATTTGACTGCACCTGCCAATGCGATCTACCAATATGAGGTTTTGGGAGGGGGGATCGATGCCATGACAATGCCTTTAGGTCCTGAGCACAGCCCTTACCAGGTCAGAGATTGCGTGTGGCTCAAGACTTGTACCACAAATTTCAGTAGGGGTCAGGTGACTAAAATAATAACCTCCGTCTAATGGATGGAATACCTCGCCATGTGAAGGATATGCACCCACATGGCAGTGTTAGCATGTCAGAGGAAGACTCTGACAGTACAACATCTTCAAGTTGGAGAGCCTGTTACATGACAACAGATATTCAGAGTCGGATAGTTCCCCTGAAGAGGAAGAAAGATAATCACCGCCAAACTGCCACTTTTGTGATCAGGAAGGAGTGTGCTGGAGAATTACCTTGGAGGTCCAAGAGGGCTAGAGTAACATAGCCTAAATGTGTGTACAGGATGAGTGAATTGCTAGTGAGGCAAACCATCCAAGCATCGGCACTAGAATAACAAGGCGCATACATCATTGAGTCAGATTGAGTCTGTCAGCGTACTTAATATGAAAATTCTCTGGCTTGACAAGAATGTATAAAAAAGGCAAGTGTTTGTTGAGACATGAGAAGGCTTTGCACTCAACTCGGATCACGTCAGTGCATACTAAACCAGAATCCATTGTGAGTGTGTTTCCAGTGTCTGTGCTACAGAATCCCAGGTTTCCTGCTACAGATTAAACAGCCATGATTATAGCTATAGACTATGAATGAATAAATGAAATTTATTTTTAAAAACATATTGCATTTTTGTTTATTCAGCAGACATTTCAGTCTGATAGAGTAAAATTAATAGATTTGACACATGCATCAGGTTTTGTATACATTAACTTATTGTATAATGTTAACAGGACTAAAACATAGGGAGGGGGGTGAACGAGATTGGTTGCTTATTTTCTGATTGATTAAAAGTCTAAAGTACATTTTCTAGGGAAAATCAAGAGTAAAGAAAGAGACAGAATATGATACACTATGTCTTTTCAGAGGAGGACATTGAAAATGCCTGCAGTTGTTAAGTTACCACTTGTATCATTACATAGTTGATGCTAACTGGACCTATGATGTATAAAAAATATTTTCAAACAGGATAGGATAGATTACAGTCCTAACCTATTAACCGGTTCATGTGTAGATCTTGTTTGTATTATATATCAGTTTATGTTCAATATTCATAGCTCAGGCAATATAATATTACAAGTATGCCTTAATAAGTCCAAAAACTGAGTTATTAGCTGAATTTTGAGCCAATATTTTCATTGTATATATAATGATCAATATTCACCACTGAATTAAGTGCATTGACAAGGAAGGAGATTATGCAGAAAAATAAAAATTTGTTGTTTAAAATAAATGCTTTATCCATTTTCATGTTATGGAATTATTGACTTACATATATTAAATCCAGTCAAAAACAGAAGCACCATTTTAGTGATTTTGATCAAGTCATCAATAATTGTCAATCTTTTATGCTGGACAAAAATCTTTATTTTTAGTTTTAGTAATCAGCTTTAATTCAGGTTTTCACTTTATTCTTTGGCTTGAAAAGGTCAAAATCAATGGCATCATCTGGTTGATCATTCTGGAAAATATAAATATCAATATAAAATGTTTTTATTTTTATTTTTTTATTTATTTATTTTTTTTTTTACAAAATTTTATTAGAGCTTAAATATAAATGGACAGTTTAAAAAGCATATATTCATATAATATATATATAAATATATCAAAAATAAGTGTGGGAAAAAGCAAGGAAAAGAAACAAAATTATTAAGCCGTTTGCTCTTCGGGGCTCAATCGAAAGCAAAATAATTATGTGTACAATGATTAAAATAAAGAGGGAGAAAAAAAAATAATAACTTTTTTGCTCATCCATCTCATTGTTTTAATATATTTGTGTATATTATGTAAATAAAATGCCTGTTTGTAAAGCCATATTATAAAATGTGGATGTGTGTAATACAGGATGCAATGAATAAATTGTCTAAATTACTCAAAAATGAAAATAATACTGATGTCTCATCTTAATATATATATTTACCAAAATTACATTAAAAATTTATTCACTAAAATCACCATTAGCTTCAACTACAGCCTCTAGACGACTTCAGAATCTCTTGCAACTCTTCTGGACAGTTTCCTTGGTGAATGCTGCCATAATCCTTGCCTTCAGTTCATCTTTGATCTTACAAGGAGTTTTGTTGGTCTCATTCACAATTGCACCCCACACATAATAATCAAGAGGGTTGCAGTCTAAGGAGTTAGCTGGTCAAATGTAAGGGGTGATGTCATCATAAAAATTGTCGGACAGCCATGACTGAGTTCTCCTGTTTGTGTAGCATGGTGCAGAGTTCTGTTGCCAGACATAAGCAGCCACCTTCTTGAGCCAGGGCAGCACTACTTCCTCAAGGTAATTGATGTAGGTCTCTGTGTTGAGTCCGAGGCCCTTACCAACAAATTAGGGAGTTCTTTTCTTATCAGAACTATCAGAGCAAGCTTTCCAAGCTGATCTACCTTTGTAATCACCATTAGATTCATCCAACTCTTTCCAAATCCTCTGCACTGTCCGCTGATTGACTCCCAAACACTGAAATGTGCTTCCAGTGTGAATACCAAGCAATACAGCATGGCGTTTCCAAATTTCTGGTGGAGTGAATTGCATCATGGTGCTCTTTTTTTTCTCACAGACAATGCTCAACTGACTCTACTGTGCAGTCAACAAAATCAAATATAAACAATGCACAAAATTAAAAATATAAAATGTAAACAATTTATCCATTGCATCATATATATATATATAAAATATTCCATTCTTTCTACAAGAAAATTTTATAAATGCACAAACCTTTGAAAAAGAAAGAATTGTTAGCTGCCATTTACAATTATTTCAAAACATGCTAAAATTTATGTTAATTTTTTGGAAAATCACTTGGTACACAAAAAAATTAAATTCTGGAAAAATTCTATCACAAACAATCACAACCTAAACTTTATAATTGAACATATCTGTATTAAAAATAAAGAAACTAGGAAAATGTTATGATAAAATTTTTCCAATTCTACAAGTACTTTCTTTATATCCAAATTTAATGGATTGTTACATTGATGAAAAACATGCAAAAAAACATTTCAACAATTATGAAAAAGTCTAAACAAATCTCTTTCAGATAGTTTAATAATTATTGAGCTAGTATAACAATAATAATTGTAATGAACATAATTTTTTTTTTAGTATGTTCAATTCAAGGAAGACATTTGAAAAAAGATTTAGACAATTTAACAATGAAATGATATTGCAATAAATTATAAAAATAAAAATCAGTAACAAAAAAGTACTTACACTGTTCAAGCAGTCTTGCTTATTTTCTTTGGATTTTGACGACTTTTTTGATTTTTTTCTAACCTCGTTGGGATCTAAAAAAATATATTTATACACAATTCTGCAACACATGTTCAATTTAAGTACAGAGCATTATGTAATCTATTTATTTTAATAATAGAGAAATAAAGACATTTACTCTAATTTTTCAGTACAAGAAATATACTTGTAGAAATTAAACTAAAGTTTAATTTAACTACTGTATGTACTAGTGTATAGTGCAGCCCCATTTGTTTTTGCCATGAATTTTAAACCCCTGAAAAAAATTATTTGTGCATAGTGTAACTGGTCATTGAAAATGCATAATTTTTAACCTCTTCAAAAACTTATTTTTCTGTAAAAACTGATCATAAAAACTTGCACTATACTCAAGTATATACAGTAAACAAATTTGGATCAGTACACATTTTATTTTTTGACAGGTTGTGTAATTACTTGTTCTACAAAATATAATATTAAAAAGAAAAAGTATATTAAATCTCATTTTTATAACATTCTTAAAGCCAGTTTTTTTTTTCTTGTTCTTATTAATTTCAATTTTTCTTTACTTTTCTGATCAACTTCTTCAGTTTCCAATGTTGTATTCCCATCTCTGAATAATTTCATAATATGTTCCAGAGATTATATCTTTCTTACAACCAATACCTATCTTATAGATGTGAAATTGAAAAGTATATATCAATAACTATGCTATTACATATATTTATTTACATGATGAAAAAGCTTCCAGTAGCATAAAATCTCATGCCACCAAATAAAAGTGTAGATATAATCTAATAAAAGCAGATATTATAAGCTGAAATTCACATGGTATATTTATCATATAAATATTTTAAAAAATTAGCTGGTTAATATTAATTTTATTATGAAAATACTGACTTACATAATAAAATCTGGCAGTGTTCTTGACAATAGAATCATCTGCTAAAGGCCAATACCAAAGGTTTAAAGAACACAACTTGTAATATTCTGACCTGTTTTATTTTTATACCAGCTGTAAGTCCTAAATATTTCATCTTAAGACAAGATGAATTACAATAAAAGAATTTAAATTATGAAAAATGCCATGTACACCTCAATACCCTTAAATTTCCAACTAGTACTATCACTTTTAATTCCCCAACATTTGCTATGGTTTCTTTTAGAAAATCATTGATTTTTAATCATTTCACCCCAAGCAAGGCAATAAAGCCACTAAGATGCAAGGGGGTTACTGAGTGTTAGAGAATATGAGAAAAAATATTAACAAAAGAGAACAATAAAAGAACAAAATTTAAGAAGATAACAATTGACATTGATCTTCAAAAATTTAAATGCAAAGTTGACTGGAAAGAAAGAAGCCGGAAGAGAGTTCCACAAGCAAGAAGTATGATAGAAGCAACTGTTAGCATAGAACTTATGGTTACATCTAGCCATTTCAATTGTAAAATGATGAGACCTTGCCGCCAATCTCATACTGCACTTAAATTCATAAAATCTAGATACCATAGAGAAAGTTCATCAGAACAATTACCATGAAAATATTTATAGAAAGGGCACAGGGAAGTGACTGAATCTGAGATACCAATAACATTAAAGATTTTATCAAGAATCTCTAAATATATAGCAGGAGCACAAGATCATATGTGGCAGCAATAGTCAAAGCACAGGATAGAAGTAAAATTAAAAAAAAATAACTCACCTAATATGTCTTTAAACATTTTACGTTTATTGGTTAAAGCTGCTTGTGATGTCTGCCATTGTTGGCAGTTGTGACGATAAGTACCCAGAGCAAGGTTTGCATAGACATAGACGCCATATTTATTCTTTCTAACTTTTTCTATTTGTTTGCACAGCTCTTCAGCAATGTTTGTCTTCTGGTTGATGTTTAAATAATTCCATATGTCCTGCCACGTATGGCTGCCAATCCTGTCACAGGCAATGTCACTGTAACTACCCTGTAACAAAGATTTGAACAACAAAATGAACAGATATACAACAAGTGAAGTTTCTGCTTTTATCAAATCCGATATAGAGAAACTTTACATATCCATTAAAAAAAAAAGAAAAAAAAAAAAGATTAAGACTGTTTCCAGAAACTGAATTTTAACCTCAATGTCATTCTTTCAATATTTAACTACTGCTAAGAAATCATAAAAAAAAAAAATCAACAGAAATACATAATTTTATCTAAATTTTAAATAAAACCTAAAAATTAGTCTTCAGTTGGCATAGATGTATTTTCCAAATTCACCAATCATTTATTTCCAGCAAAATAATCCATGTTTCCCATTCAAAAGATATATCCCAAATATCTTAAAATGACATTACAAGGCTGTTTTGTATATCAATAAAGATAATAAACTTAATTTTTTTTATAAGGACAATCTTATAATAATCTATAAGGATAGATAATTAAAATATTTAAAATATGCTTAGAGAAATTTTTTATCTATAAAATTTTGCCTATTTTACTACAGTTTTGGAGATGATGTAATTTTACTCACTGATATCTTTTGCAAGACAGCATCCTTACTCTTTTCTCCAATTGTTGAACTCTTGAAATATTCTTTTATCATAAAATTACCAAAATAGCTACACATCACCGAAACCATTTGTTTGGGAGTTAGAGAGAGGAAACTGTCTACAAAGAGTTTGGGATTTCCAAAATTAAAAAGGGTCTGTACAATCATAGAGCCATGAATGTTAATTATGATTTTGGCAAACTTCTCTGGTTTTTCTACCTGAAAAATAATAAAAAAAAAAAAAATAAAAATAAACAGTAAAAGAAATTTAAACAAAAAAAATTAATTTTAGTTAATGTATAATCTCTTCTTAGTTCTCTCAGAGAAAAAAAATACATTTATAAAAGATTAAATTTATTATGAAAATTAAGTCCAGGGAAAGTTTCATGTTTTTCCTATTTGAATTTTCTGATAAATCTTAATTCTTAAGTTAATGCTTGAATAAGCTCATGGCGAATTCTATGACAATAAAATATCTGTAGAAATCCCCCTATCACATCGTTAAATATTTGAGCTTAACAACTTTAACAAAATATTGTAATAACAATCATAAATATGAATGCTGGTCATTATTTTAAGAAGTGGGTACAAATGAAAAGATTTGAAATTGACAACTTTTCCATTTCACTGACAGCTGTTAAACACTTCTCTTTTCCATTTTCTCACTGAAACCAAATAGTGTAACTAAAATGAAAGATTCATATTTGTTCTTTTGGCTTTGGTTTTATATTTTTTACAGCATATTAACCTTTCAAAGATTAATGCTGAATTCTGTCATTTTGATAAAAACAATAGATAATTTTGCACAAGAACCAAAAAATCTTGACAAGTCCAGTTTACACAAGAGTTAGACATAGTTATGGCAAACAGGTGACCTTGTTTTGGAGTGTTTTACCTCTTTGCATGGATGCAGTCAACAGTCATTAGGACAAAATTTTCTATTAATCTATTAGTACAGAGGACCCTAAAATATACCAGTTTTGGGATATCTTCAATTAAGTGGACTATATTAGAGATAAAAATGGGATAGACATGATTCTATGTAATCTCTCTTTATTGATATGGATCAACATTTTTTACAAGTTTTAAAACATTAATTCTATATGACTTTTTCACAATAAATTTGCCATGGATTAAATTTTATTCAGTTCAAAGTAGAGCAAGTTTCAATACAAATATCAATACCTTAACAACAGCACACACTAAATAAAATACTTCTAAGACTTCAATGTAAAATTTAGTGAAAATATTCAGATATTTTCTTTGCTTTTAATATGAGCACATCATTCATATATATATATATATATATATATATATATATATATATAAAATAAAACATATATACAGTTATTATTGGCCAGTATCTATTGAATAACCAGATTAGTGCTTTGCTGTATTGTAAGCTCTCAATATTTATGTAAAATTACATAATTAGGGCACAAGGCCAAAAATGGGGAGGGGTTGAGGCTGGTCTTAACTAACTATCCTATACCTAGCTAATCCGATTCATGACCCATTCATACATTACAATTTCCACATTCACCACAAGAACACGTCCATCACCAATCAATCCTCTGTGCACCATAATTCCACATCCACTCTAGAGGGACCTACAAAACATGCCCCATACCATAAAAATTTAATGATGATAAATATTATACATAAAATTCTAATAATGAAGAATGAGAGGGGAGGGAGATGAACCCAATAATAAACTACTGTATTATAAGCTCTCTGCTCCCAGAGGTTAGAACAGCTGGCATATGTAGCAAGCTGGTATGGTCCATTCTGTCACTTAGGCAATCCCATTCTCCGAGTCCTGGTTGGCCGCTGGTTCAAGTGTGGATATTGTGATAGATAAATATCTATCATTCACTATCATGATGTTCACTCAAGTACAGAGCTGTGTTGAATTACAGCTCACTCACCCCTGTCTGCCAACCGGACTCTAGTTTGGGATCTTCCTGCAAAGGTGAGTATCACATTGGTTCTACACTGTCAAGGCTAACTATGGAGGTAATAGCTTTTCGCTATTACAGCTTAAGCAGATAAGTTATGGAAGAGTGGTTTGCATGAATATTCACTCATCCATTTGCTCCTCTGTCAACCTGCTAGTGAAATCTGTCAAGATATATAATGGGAGAGAATACAGGGATAAATGAATTCATGCCTTACCCAAAGGCATTACTGTAAAGTGAATATATGTATATACTAAATTCTGAAAAAAATAATAATAGTAACATTCCAAACAAAACTTTTATATGATGATGACCCTTGAGCCAAACATGGTTATAAGGCTGAAACATCATTCCCTGAAATACTTTACAATATCATCAAGCTTTGTTGATTTTTTTGTCACATGCAAATGTAGTCTCTGTTTGATTTGTAAATTTAATATATTTCTTCTGGCAATTAGTTAAGTTCAATTGTCAATAAATCCTTAACAAATGGCTTTTAAATAAAATATATTTGCTTGCCAATCATAAATTTTATCTTCTATTCTCAGGTCTTTATATTTTGCAACCTTACATTTATGGGGCCCACTAAATTCTTCTAAGTGTCCAGTCCCTTCAAAATGTTGGCGCTCATAGTTCTCCACAATTTCCTGTCCATTGTAGCTCTTAGTAAATTTTGCCATCTCTCCTAAATCCTATTCTTCCAAACATTTACACAAGCTCGTTAGGTAGGATATGCATGGTTTTCTTCTGTCCCTCTTTCCTTCAACATATCCTGTGAGTGTCAAATTTTGTAAGCCCTCTTTCCTTATTATGTGCCCTAAATTAAATTTTCTTGAATTTCAAAATCATAACATATTCCATTCAAAATTGGTGAGAAGCATTCAAACATATGTAGACAATTTTTGCACACACTGGAACCAAAAATATGTTATATAGAAAAACAAGAAAATTACTAAAAAGTTATCAAAACAAGCCTTGTCTGTGATCTTTAATAAAGTCTGCTTTATATATATATATATATATATATATATATATATATATATATATATGTGTGTAGATAGATATGAAATACAGGAAATCGTATTATTTGCTATTTAAAATTTTTTATTAGCACAATATTTTTCACCTTTTAAAAGCCTCTTCAAATACAATGAAATTTATTCAAAGTATCAGTGGAAACATCACTTTAAATAGCCCTCTTCTCAAACATTCTTTGTAAAGGTATAGAAAAAAAAATAGATATAATATACAGGTAGATTAATGAGTTCAGAACCATAATGAAAATACTTCTCACACCATTTTCTTTAGACTGAATACAAAGTTGAAGACCTTTTAACAGGCATTGTTTTTTTTTCACAGACTAATTTCCACACCTGTTTTTTGATAATATCCTGGCTATAAACAAGAATAGAGTGTATGCTGTGAAATATGAAAAAAAAAAAGTAAAAAAACAAAAACATAGAAAAATGAAGAAATTAGTTTGAAGAGAATCACACTGATTAAAAACATGTCTAATAAAATTCAAACAAATTTTTTTAAGGTGAAAATATTGAAAACTTTTACACACACCTAGTAGGTATTAGCTTAAATTTGACATGAAATTTTCAGTTTGAAATATATGATTAATATACCTCACTGCATTAAAAAGATTATGCTGACAAAAATATGCTATATAAAATTATTTTTTTCATCATTAGGCTATAAATTTATTAATATACTCTGGGTATAATTATACAAAATAGAAATACATATATAGAAATATATACAAGGGAGAGTGCTGAAAATTTTGGTTATAACTTGACTAAGAATGCCCTTTGTGATCATTTAGTCAAATTTAGTTAGACTAAAACTTTTCAGCACCACATCAAATATATAATCTATATGTATTAAATATATACATTACCTCATCATCAATTGTGATATTTTCCATATAAACTTCATAAGTTTTCATAACCATTAATAAAGGTACAATTAAGATTTTTTTATCTTCTTCTGTACAGTGGAAAGCATCAAGTAACTTCTGAAATAAAAAAATAACTTATGAACCAAATTCTTACTTTAGACAGTCAAGCAACTTCCTAACAAATACTAACAATCATGTTAAAAAAAAAAAATCAAAGAATTTAAAACCAAGAGCACTGAACTGTGACTCTACAATATTGTCAACACCTCTATCAATTTTATAAAAAGTTAATTTTCTTCTAAGCCAAACATACCAGATTTTATCATTTTTGTACAATCAAAATGATTAGGTATTATTCATTACAACATTGAAACTATAATAAAAAATATGAACATATAACAGGCCCAAAATAATTGCACCCCTTTGTATAATGTTCCATTAGTAATAATAAAATCCTTATATGATTTGTTTAAAAGAAAGATTAACTTTTTCTCAAAAAAAATTGTTTGACATTTATGAGCAATACTGTAGTTCCAAATTAAATGACATGTATATGGGTTATACAGAGCCAAACATATATATATATAACAATTATTTTTACTATTTTTTCTTTCATCTTATTCTTTATTTTTTATATATTCTGTTTAACAAATGTAAAATTTAAAAAATATCTGAAATGTTGTAGTAAAAAGCAACAAAAGGTGAAAAATTAAATTTTTTTATGTGCAAACAAGGGTATTTTCTTGTATTTAAAACATCTTATCTTACTTATTATAAAAAGCAGATTGTGTGTGTGTGTGTACGTTTATATATTGGATCGGATTTCCTACATTTTTCAACCGATTTCAACAAAACTTCACAGGACAATGTAAAATTACCTTGTGGTAGTTCTGACAGCACCAAAAATTGGAAACACAATTGTTTTTGCATGAAATCAATTTGAAAACATGATTAAGAGGTATTAATGGAAGGGGGACAACTCATATCGAGTTATACTTATTATAAAACCCAGGTTGGTTGTGTGTGTGTGTGTGTGTGTGTTCATTTATATATGGGATCGGATTTCCTACATTTTTCAACCAATTTCAACAAAACTACTTTTTTTTGGCAGGTAGTGTTTCTTATTGTCTTGCACACTTTTTTCTTTATTTTTGCATTCAGAATGCTTTAAAAATTCCATTTACAAGACAATTGTTTATAATAAAATTCTATTCAATCGATAGACTCATAACAATTAAAAACAATGTTTTTGTTTGAGTCTGGGTTTGACCAATTCGTAAGAAAAAAAAAAAAAAAAAAAACCTAATTAAGACGTGTGTCTGTCAACCTTAAACAATAATCTTTGTCAATTTTATTTTTCAGTCTTTATGATGGTTGATACTTGATCTATCTCTTACTGTTACAATGCTGGGCTCTACTGCTAGTATGATATAAACTTAAAGTTATATACTTTTCATGCATTAATACATAAAACTGATATAAATAAAATAGGGGAAAACCTTAGGAATGGTTACATATTAATGCTGACACTAAAATATAAAGTTTCTTTTATTTTACTCTGCAAACCCATAAAAAGAAAAGCTTTCTACTATTTTTTATATTACAGACCAATTTTTACAGCATGAAATAATAATATGGCATTATAATAAACAAGGTTTCAATGGTGGCTTCTACTCTTTTTCAATAAGTTTTAATGAAACCACTGATAAAGAATAGAAGATAATGGTTCAATAATTTTTATTTAAAAAGCTTTACCAACATTTCATATGACTATTGTGATTTGTTATGCTGCTGAAGCTTTTACCACAATGTTTTGGAATATACAAAAAGTTTTCATTTTTTTTTTTTATTTATTTTGCTAGTAAATAAATGAAACAGTTTGGTTCATTTTAACAAGACAGAACATTTACTTTATTACCATCCCATATAACTCTAATTTACAAATGCCGTCTTCAGTTATATATAATAAAAATACTTACTTTGACAATTTTTTTCTGTTTTGTTCCTAGTGTTAAGCATTTTCGAATAAGAGTCTTGATCACACCCATGTGCTTCATGGATAGCATATCTTCAAGATAAGGAGTGATTTCATCAAATATAAAAGTAAACTGAATAAACAAAAAGAAAAAAGAATAATATTAAAAATAGAAAACTTGTTGACACTTTATATTAAGGAAGTATAAACAGATAATGTTGAACAAGATATTATGTTATCTGCATTCATTATTTCCATGAAAAGTGTGCAGACTTGTACAGAGTGAACATTATTGTTTAAAAAAAAAAAAAAAAAAAGATTAACTAAATTATCTCCCTTGTTTTCCAACTCTCCCGTCACAGAGATTAGTATGGTTTCAGTTTCTTCAAAGTACAAAGGGTTAAATTAATTTTTTAATCTCTTATAAAAGTCCAATGCGACCATGATTATGCTTTCAGACAGTAACCTAATCAATGATATCTAGATTGACAATACCTATGACATTGAGCCAGGTTTAGACAGACAGTTACAAGTGTTACTAAGTTAAATTGTAGATAATAAAGATAGAGAATTCCAATATATATCCTCAAGGATTCTACTTTTTCCCTTATTTAGAAATAATGATCAAGCAAAATAGTACTTAAATTTTTATATAAAAAAATCTTTGTTTTTTTGACACATTATTACCCATATATGTCAAGCATCATTTCCTTTTAAAATTGAAAATATATAATTAAAACAAAGCTATTCTTTTGTTTTTAGTTATAAAATTGCAAACATTGATTTAATGAAAAACAAAATTATATATAAACAGAGGAATAGAACAATATGTGTTAGTTAATTGGTAGCTATAAGAAGATATGCATGTTTAGTTTGTTGCCTTGTGTTAATATCTAGTTATGGCCATGTCAAATGTTTAACATTCAGTTAGGGCATTCCCCACACTGGCTAAACAATGTGAAAGTGGATGAATCAGGTCTATTTGTGGGATAAGCAAGCTGGCCACCTTGATTGCAAGTGTATGGATATATATCTCACAGCTGGTAGACTATATCTATCTATCTATATATATATGTGTGTGTGTGTGTGTGTGTGTGTGTGTGTGTATATAATTAGTTGTGGGTTTTGACAGAAATCCCCTAATACATGTTTCACTGAAACCAAGTACCAACAAAGTACTTCTATTGAGCTTTTCTTTGTATTTTTCTTGTGTGCAAACAAGAAATTTCTTTTTCTTTTTGAGATATAGCATATAGAAAGCACTTTCAGCTAATCTATTACATATTTTCAAGGATTTTTGGTTGTGCTATTGTAAATGATGTATAGGTTTCTGATACATAGGACATGGTCAGTACATTATGGTCATGTCTGTAGTTGATGTTGTTGAGGGTTGTTTTTTTTGTTTTTTTATGATTCAATTATTTTTAGACATTTTCTGCTCTTAGAGTTTGTGTTTACAACAAATATTTTTATGTTTCAACGTTGATATATTTTTGTGTTGGTTTAGTTGGTATAAAATAAAATGCAAAAAATTTGAAGCAGAATGTATAGCTTTGTCTGAGGCAGATGTTAGTGATATGGAAGTAGAGATTGAACCTTTCTTTTGATTTGTTACTGATAGCAGCTAAGTAACAGTCTGGCAAATGGCATCTGACAAGGAAGTGTATATGAAGCAGATGTGTTTCATTGAATTCCTCTATGCAGAAAAAATTACATTTACCGACACTTGCTGAACATTTACAGAGACCAAACATTGGATGTGAACACAGACCATGGTTAATGTATTTCAGCAGTGGCAAAAGTGATATTTGCAACAATTTTTACAAGGACAGCATACAGGCTCTAGTTTATTATTAGCCAATGAGGAAAAATTAGTGTTCTGTAGGTGAAAACTTGCTCTATCTAAAAGTGTTATGCTTCCTGTATCTGTTGTAATTTTTGTGAAAATGAATAGATGGCATTACTTTTGGAGCATCCCTTAAACAGCATTAAATAAAAAAAATACTAAAGAAAACAATTATTTTAGAAAAAAAAATGATTTTGTAATTTTCTTATGTTATAATACTAGTCTATTCCCAAATAGTAGAGATCTTCACTACTTTTTGAAAATAAAATTCATTTTATTCCATTTTGCTTATAAAATGCCTCCCTTGGTACAGGTCCCCTCATCCACTATATACAATGGTGTTAAAGCAAAGAAACAATTATCATTAGTTCATAAGGGAAAAAGTTCCCAGGCCCCCAAAATAACTTTCTATGTCTGTCTGTCATGATGTTCTGTTTTCTGTTATAGATGATGTGGAAAAATTGAAGCATAACTGTATACTTGCTAAGCCATTTTTTATAGACACTGAAAACATTCTGCAAAGATGCCTTAAATTTATGTCTCTTTTCAAAATTAAAGTCATATTTTGTAGCAATGATTAGCATTACTGTCAGGTGCAGCAAAAAGCTTACACAAGGTTATTTTTTAGTCTGGGATTGCTCAAAAGATTTTCCTATATAAACTATTGATAATTCCTTTTTTGCTTGACACTATATCAGTTTACATTTGATTGATTGTTAGTTTTTACATCTTTTCAACCATTTGTGGTTTTATTTAAAGCTGGAACATACATAGATTGTCAGCTTACAAAGTTTCAAGGGTTTTTGGTTTTTTTTGTTTTTTTTTTGGCAGAGGTCTGGGAATGCTCAATTTTTTCCCCACATAAATTATTGGAAATTGCTTCTTTGTTTTCTACCATTTCAGTTTACAAAAACTTTGTCAGGAATGCTCTTGAATGAATTTAGATCGAATATATATCAAATATAGATTACAATCCAATAGGATAAGGAACAAATAGAAAATGTTTATAACTTTAACATGTTTAGCTTTTATTTAAGCTTCATCCTATATAAACCATTGATAATTCCTTCTTTGCTTGACACTGTCAGTTTAAGATTGTTTTTACATCTTAACTCTTTTGAGGTTATTTAAAGCTAGAAAATTTTTGTATTGTAGGATGTTGTCAGTTAACAAACTTTCATGTAAATGCTCTGCTTTCAAATAGTAGGAGAAAAGCTATAATTACACTGACATTTTACCATGTCTTTTTCCTCACGCTCACTATAAATTGTTACAATGAAACTAATAGAAAAATATGAAAAAAGAAATAAAAACGAACAAGGCAATAATTTGGCACAAAACTTTTTGAATACTGGATTCGACATTAGTTTGAACCATTTATGGGAAAAATAATTTGCTGAATAAATCATACCATTTCTTTACTGGAGCATCTCTCAATGACATGTTGTAGGACATAGTTTGATTGTTCATGGATTGCATAAGCAATTAATCTGTCCTTAAATGAACTTTCATACCAAGCTAAGAAAAGCTCTTCTGAACAATGTTGAAGCAAAAGCTGAACTAAATAAGTAGCATAAACATCCATCATCAAGACAGGCAATCTGAAAAATAAAATCAAACATTAAGATATTTATTATAAAGAATTTAACATGATGATTTTTTGTGATGTTATTAATAATGTGAACATGATAACTTCTGAGAAATTTCTTTGTCCTGAAATGGCTGACAAGATATTTCACCAATATAATGTCACATCTGTCTATATTTCTGAGATGAGGTATTATGTACACTATTTACCTTATTCGGACTATTGTCCTCATCTTTGTTGCCATATTTATTACAATGTTTCGGCCTTTCAGTATCTGTCTATATTCCTGAGATGAGGCATTATGTACACTATTTACATTATTCAGACTATTGTCCTCATCTTTGTTGCCATATTTATCACAACATTTCAGCCATTGTACAGTCCGGCCTTCTTCAGGTGGTTGAAATGTCAAACTGAACCCTTTATTTCACTTGCTGAGGTAGACTGTCCTGTCCCACGTGCCATGTCTAATGGATGTCAGTTATCAAGTTATCTCCTGTTAATTCCCCTCTGAAAGTTCTCCACTGCCTTAACCAGGTATTGAACTCACACTCTTTTAGGTCCTGTCACTGGATCTAGCTAACACTTTTATCCCTTGAGGACACATGGCACAGTGGATAAAGGCGTTACATATTATATATATATATATATATATATATATATATATATCAGAAATGACAGAGTTACTCTTATATGACACCAACCCACAAGAAACAGATCGCCTTAGAAAACAACTTATTAAATTCTTCAAGGATTATGAACTAAATATCATCACTAACACCAATGCCAAAGTAACCATCTTCCGGGACGCCACTTTCAACCTATCCAAGGAAATATACAAGCCCTTCACTAAAGAGCTTTATAATCATAAATACATTAGCAAAGAATTTAATCATCCCCCATGAATTTTAAATAATTTGCACAAATCAGTGCAACATAGGCTCTCTATTAACTCTAGTAATAAAGATATTTTTGAAAAATATAAAGCTAAATATGTTGATGCATTAATAAAAATCAAATACAAACTTAATCTAGAATATCTCGGCAATAATAAGACTGACATTAAAGGCATAAACATAGAAAATGCAACATAATTTGGTTTAACCCACCATTTAACAGTAATGTCAAAACCAACATCAGTAGGATTTTCTTTAATGTAATCCATAAGCATTGCTCAACAAGATTTTCAACAAGAACATTAAAATTAGCTACAGCTGTACAAAAAACTTTGAGCAGTATATAGCACTGCATAATAATTTAATGTTAAACAAATATTTAAACAACTTCAATAGTAATAATAGTACCAATAAAAATTGTAACTGCCGAAAAAAACCGTACCTGCCCACTAAATTCTAAATGCATTAATAAATGTGTTATTTACAAAGCTAGCATTGAACATAATGACAACACTAAATTTTATTTTGGTTCCACTGCTAACCACTAGAAAACCAGAATTACCATCATAAAATGACATTTACCAATAAACAATATTCAAATACCACGGCATTCTGAATTTTTCCGGGAAATTAAGACATAACTACACACCTGTAATAAATTGGGATCTCATCACTAAAACCAAACCTTTTACCCTCAACAAAGGAAAAATGTACTCTATGCCTCTTAGAAAAACTATTCTCAGATACATCGATAATCATAATCTGCTGAACAAGTGTAGTGAGCTCCCTTCTCAAATATTTCAATTCTGGTTAAAGCAATTAACCTAACACTTGCTTTAATACTCCCACTGACTAGCCTCTAATATTTTTCATATTCAGTTACCTCCCTTGCACCATCCTAGCATTTAACAGCTCAGTGTTTCTTTTTTTTTTTTTTTTTTTAATTTGTTTTATTATTTTTTATCAATATCTTTTATTTTTCCTTATCTTCTATTATTTTTTTTTGTCTACCCATGCTTTTTATTTGGTAACTACCAGCTATTTTAGTTCGTATTACAAAAATCTTAGCCATTGACTCAATATTCATTATAGATCAATATCCCTATTAAACTTACTAATTACTTTAGCTTATCTACCTATTAACACTATATTTTGAATTTATGTCCAACACTATATTATATTTATAATGATCTTGAACTTTGAATCCACAATCTCGCATTGCCCCCATGAGACCCAGAATTTTTTGTACCTAACAAATGGGTAAACCATGAAACTGTAAATGTAGGTATATGTGTCATCATTAATATATACTTTATAGCTCTGTTTAACTACACTGAGCACTGTTTTGTCTACACCATTGATTAAATAAATAGATATTTGCTCACCTGTATGTGTACATAATCACTCACATATATAGTTGATCATCTCTTAGCTCATTTCTACACACACACACACACACATATATATATATATATATATATATATATATATATATATATATATATATATATATATATATACACACATTGTTTTAATGTATAAAAGGAGGGGAACATTAGTTCAATAATGCTGATTTCTGTAATTGCCAACACTAATTCAGTAGTGGCTAATATCAACAATTACATTATGACAAAAAGAGGAATAATGTAGTAGTGTACATTTAATCAAGCACACTATCTAATCCGACACTGTAAAGTACCTGTACACTGTAAATATACACTATTTTATGCTGTTGTTAAATTAACCCTTTTCCATCTTGCTACTCTTCCTCCAGACGACATGCTTATAGAAAATGATGAATATAAAATCACTTAAACACACTGGCATATAAAAAAGGGGCAAAGCTAAAGAGTAATAAGCTACACATGTGGTTACACTGGTATAAAAAAGTGACAACCCGCCAACTAGTGGTCAGTTCACAAAGCATTCAATAGCATACAAAACTTACAAACTGAGTCAGCTGGTCCAGATTTTGTCCGTTGTTTCCGATATCTATTAAAAGGTGGGGTCAGTAATATGGAGGCATGCGTGTGTGCGCGTGTGTATATTTTATATATATATATATATATATATATATATATATATATATATATATATATATATATATACACACACACACAAACAACTAATAAATAGCCAATAACATATAAAATAAACTATCAATTAGTTTCAAATACTTAAGTTTTAAGTGAAACAAAAAGATTTTATAAGACCTACTTTTTATTGGACCTACTTCTCAATTTTTCATTAATGACCTTTTTAATGATATCAGTTATCAACTTGATATCTATGCTGATGACACAAAAATTTACTCCTGTCTTGATAGTAAATCTGATCTGTTCCATAAGTTCAAATTGGCAGCTGATCTAAAAAATGACCTACAGTCTGTTGTTAACTGGGGCAAGGAATGACTTGTTAGTTTTATCGCCTCCAAAACAAAGCTTCTCTCTATCAATCCCCTAAAAGACCCCTTCCTGCTTCCCATCAGCATAGCTGATACTAACCTTCATGAGAGTGACTCACTGCACTTTATTGGGCTTACATAAAGTAGAAAGATTATATTGAATCCATTGTTAGGTCTGCTGCTAAGTAATTTGGCCCACTGTATTGTGCTTGACAATTTTTCACCTCTAAATCTATCTTACATACTCATGTCTCCTTATTTTGAATATTACTGCCACATATGGTCCAGTGCTCCTGCCGTATATTTAAGAGATTCTTGATAAAACCCAAAGTAGAATCAGTAATATTATTGGTCATGACCTGAGATCTCATCTTCAGTCACTTTCCCACTGTCATAATGTAGTTTCCTTGTGCCTTTTCTACAAATACTTTCAGGGTAATTTTTATTTTGAATGAACACTTCACTATGGTACCCAGAATTGATGAATTTAAGCAAAGTATTAGATTGGTGGTAAGGTCTCATCAATTCACAGTTGAATTATCTAGATGTAACCATAATTTGTTCTAGGCTAATAGGTGTTTTTTCCTCGCACTTCTCACTTGTGGAACTTGCTACTGGTTCCATGATTTCTAGTCAACTTTGATCTTCAAGAATTTAAATGCAATGTCAATTGTTATCTACTGTCTTCTAGATTACTCTTCTATTGTTCTTGCTCTTTAATAATGTGTCCTTTTTCTTATTCTTTCACACTCAGTAAACCCTTGTGTCTTAGTGGCTTTACTGTCTTGCATGGAATGATAAGGTTAAAAAAATAAATAAAATAATTTTATATATTAGCATATACTGGAAAATCAAATCGTAACAAATTGAAAGTCAAGGAATAGTTAAATATATTATAGAAATAATTAAAATTTCTGGGGCAAAATGAGGAAAGAGGGTTTGGAGAATATAACACTCACAGAATAACACTGAAAGCAAATGAGGAAAAATAAAGTGACCTACTTATTGAGTTTGTGTGAATGGATGTCAAAACAAGAATAAAGAGGGGGTGATAAAAGAGCTACAAAAGACAGGAAATTGTGACAAGCTATGATTTCCCTCACTCTGAAGGGACGCAGCACATAAATAAAGGGGACTGGAGGTTGTTGATTAGTTAAACTGCCATAACTCAATACTCTAAGTGTCCATCTTGTTAAAACCCTTTTGTTATTCAACATCAGTAAAAGGCATTATCAACTCTTATAGAATTTATTATGACTAAGAAAACCCATAAAAATTACACAGTTTTCCTATTTGAATTTTCTGATGAATTTTAATTCTTAAGTCAATAATTGAGTTAGCACATGGTGAGTTCTACGACAATAAAATATCCATAGAAATTCCTCAATCATATTTATTTAAGCTTAACAACTTTTTCCATTTCATTGAAATAGCTGTTAAATACTTCTATTTTCCCTCTTTTCTTTCATTAATTTTCCCACTGAAACCAAGTAGTGTGTTTTCCCCTATTTCTATATGATCAAAACAGAATTATTTATGAGGTATAGGCAGGGTGGAATGGTCGTGCGAACTAAGGAACTAACGAAGGGATGAACAAGCAAAATCATAATAGGATTAATGTTTCTTCAAAAATACAAAAGTGAATACACATTAAAAAAAAAAACAAAAAAGACAAAGTATTTTAAAACAAATGAAACAGAATTTATCAAAATACCTAGTATGATCTGTAAGAGGGGTTTCAGGGTCAACTGCAGGAACATCAAAAAAACCACATAAACGGATCAATTTCTTACAAAGTTTCTCCCCTTTATGTTGTTTCAATTGACATGTGATATGCAGTATCAGTTGAATGACAGGATTTGCAGCTTTGTCAGAAACATAGTCTGAAATTGATAATAAAAGACACTGTAAAAGATTATGACGATAGAAATAAGTGTTAATAAATGTCTAAGGATCTCTTATCATTGTCTTTCAGAAGAGTCACCAGAAAAGTATTTATGCATAAAATGTTTTGCAATTATCAGTAACTCCAAGTTTTTAATTACCAAAAAATAATTTAAAAGGTTTAGGTAAATTACATTGAAAGATTGTTTGATTTTCATTGGTCAATCATGTTTCAGATGCATTCGAATTTTTAAACTAATGTTAGAATAATTTGTGACATTCGAATGAAAAACAAACAACACAAAGTAAAAATACCAGAATTTCTTTCTTCTTTTTCTCTGATGAAGCTTTAATAAAAGTGAAAAATGTTAGATTGATAAATATTTTCTATTTGTTTTCTTATTATTGTTGGATTCTGATCTATATTTGATGCCTACTCACACACATTTTATATATATATATATATATATATATATATATATATATATATATATATATATATATATAGTGTATTTAGACAGCAATCCTTCATTAAAAATGACAGACAAGGTACTACAATTAAGCTTCTTATTTAATTTTCTTTGTGTTTGAACAAGTGTTTTCTTTTTTGGACACAGTATGAAGAAACTGTCCAAATGTTCTATAATTCCGAGCATTTTTGGCTATACTTTTAGCCATTATCAAGGATAATTTTATTTATTCAGTTTAACCAAGCATGTGCACTGTGTGTGTGTTTTTTAGTGTTATAGAAATGTTTTATTTTCTGAACACAGCACATTGAGGCTGTGTTCGTAGTTAATATTACTAAGTGTTGGCTTTTTCTCTTTTATTATTAAGGCTTCTATTATTTTTAATCATTTTTACATGTGGGTGAGGTTATTATGTTTGTATTTTCTACTAGTATGTTTTGGATGGAGTCTGGTAAGTTTGTGTGTGTGTTTAAATGGATTCTATTAGCTCTATTAGAATCCATTTAAACACAGCCAACACTTAATAATATTAATTACGAACATGGCCACAACGTGCTGTGTTCAGAAAATAAAACATCTCTATAACACTAAAAACATACACACAGCGCACACACTCAATTACACTGAATAAATAAAATCAAAGTTCATAATGGCTAAAAGTATAGCCAAAAGCACTCAGAATTATAGAACATTTGGACAGTTTCTACACACCATGTCCAAAAAATAAAAAAATAAAAAAACAAAAAAAAAAGAAACACTTGTTTGAACAAAAGAAAAATTAAATGAAAAGCTCAATTGTAGTACCGTGTCTGTCATTTTCAATGAAATATATATATATATATATATCGATTTTCTAAGCGTAGCTTAGATGTGGCACAAGGCCGAATGTATGGGGCACCCAGTGAGGATCGAACTCACGACTCAGTTGCAATCGTTCTAGCGAGACAAGCTTGCTAACCATTACACCGCCTCGAGGCGCCCATATATATATATATATATATATATATACACACACACACACACACACACACTCATTTGAGCATGATGATGACAAAAAAAAAAAAGGCAAGAAAGGCATACTCACTTGTGAAGTGAGAAGAATTGATAATTAACTTTGATATTTTAAAAAACTGTTTATGAAATGTTTCATCTGGCTTTGATTCATGGAGCTTTTCTTTATAGGCTGCATTGAAAAAAACAAAAATACATTTAAAATGTCATGCTTTACTGTTTCATCTACAATTACAAACAATAAAGAATATCGATGAAATCCTATTTTATATGTTGTTTGCATTTAATCTTACTTTTCATTTTGTATACTTCTATAAATAAAATACTAATTTTTAATAATTTATAGTGTTGTTAAACTGAGTAATATGAAAAGATTGAGAAAATATATTTACAATAAGAGAAATAAATAAATACCCGATTAGACAAATTGCTCCTTCATATAAGGATATAGTGTTAGTTCATTACACAAAATCTCAAGGCATTCATTAACTGATTTCATTTTAAGAAGAAATTGACACCAGTAAACAAGAGAAAAATTAAAGGAACAAGATCTTTGCTTATTAAAAATATTTTTATCTATCTAATGCCACTAGCCTAAACATGGCCAAGATCTGCCTTGTCATATCCACAGAGTTGAATCACCATCATTCACTACATATTCCTTTGATAAGAAGGAAGTTCTGTAAGCTTCTCTGACCCCACAAGAACTGCTACTTTGTGAAACAGATTCCCATGTGGAAGCTTCCCTGCATACTACAGTCTTATACTCTTCACGTCTAGGATCAATTTTCATCTATCCACCATATCTACATACTCTTCATTTCCTTCTCTTTAAATTCATATTACACACCTATCATTTGGTAAAACCTCTACTTTAGCTCTTGGGACTTGCATTGGATGAACTACAGTAAAAAAAAGAAAAAAAGAAAAACTTCTATCCAGAATCAAATCAATTTTTTTCAAGATGTTTTATGAAGACAGAAAATGAAGGCAGATTAATTTAAACTAGAAATACCTGTGAAAATTTCTGTTTTCCTATTTGAATTTTCTGATGAATCTTAAGTTAATGATTGAATAAGCTCATGGCGAGTTTTATGACAATAAAATAGCCATAGAAATTCCCTAATCACATCATTAAATATTTGAGCTTAACAACTTTAACAAAATATCGCAATAACAATCATAAATATGAATGCTGGTCGTTATTTTAAGTGGTACAAATGAAAAGATTTGAAATTGACAACTTTTTTCCATTTCACTGAAACAGTCAGTAACGACTTCTATCCTTGTCTCTTTCATTTATTTATTTTCTCACTGAAACCAAGTAGTGTCTCTGATATTTTTTGTTTTTACATGCAATCAAAACTGAATAGTCCAATATTTATGAGGTATTGATAAATGTTAAACACTTCTATCTTCCCATCTTTCTTTCTTTCATTTTCTCACTGATACCAAGTAGTGTTTTTCCATGAGATCAAAATGGAATAGAGGTATTTATGAGGTATTGGCAGGGCTTAACGGTTGTGCAAACTAATAAAGGGCGGAATAAGCACAATTATAATAGGATTATCAGATGCAAAGAAGTTGAGTTACATGATTACTTTCTTTTTTTTTGAGTCATAACTTAATTTAATTTTGAAGATTAAGAAAAAGAAAAATTTTGTCAAAAACAAAGAAAACAGTATTGAACAGTCATGTAATATCAGTCCTCCAATATGGCAGTGAATGCTAAACAATTTTCTCACAGGAAGACACTTGAAGCAACAGAAATGTGTTTCTACAGAAGGATGCTGAGAATACCATGGACTGAATATGTGAGCAACAATGTTTTATAGAAAATGGAAACAAAAAGGACACGTCAAAAAGAGTTGAAATTTCTAGGACACATAATGAGGAAAGAGGGCTTTGAAAATATGATACTCACAGGACAGATTGAAGGCAAGCAAAACAGATGAAAACAACTTAGCTTCAGTAAATTTATGGTAAAACAAGGTTTAGGAGAAATAACAAAAACATAAAATTTATTAAGAGCTACAAAGAACAAGAATTTGTTTTTGATTGATTCATTTTCTATGTCCTAACCCATTGCAAATTATTTAATGCCAGAAAATATTTTTACATTGTAAGAATTTTTTTTTTTTTTGAGATAATAACTGTTTAATGATGATTCATACCTTTTCCAAGGGCATTTGTGCCTAAGTGAATATAATGAACCCAACAGGAATTGGAACTTAGCTCTCCAATTAACAATTCTGAGTCATTATCCATTAAATCATCTACACACTAACTTAAAGCACCTGCTATTCCCAAACAGTCACCCATTTAGGTACTGACCAGGCTCAACAGTAATCATATGGGAAGCAATGTTTCAATATTATAGCTGTAAGCCCAGGAAATTGTGGAGATCCATAATTGCCAATGCCCTAAAGATGTACAGCATATAGATGACGGTTCTTTAATGGAAAGTCTAATATTTAAGCAGAATATCAAGTGATATTTTGGTTTTGGTGAGAATTGAAGTTTGAAAGATTAAATTGTATTATCCTAAATTGCTTTATCATTGTCTTTAATCATATATCCAAGGTTTTAAATTGTGATGTTCTATTATAATAAAGCAGTGAGAAAATAATTCCATCTTGATCAAAGGTGACCTGGAACTGAAAAACTTAGGACTAAGACTGTTCAAATCCATGTTATTCATTTGTCAGTTTTTACAGATTTCTGACAATACAAGGAGAGATGTTCTAAAATGCATTATCACAGGTACCATGGAGATGTAAAAGAGTCATATTCATTTTTATTATCTAATTAGAACAGGTGTGAACAGGTGCAAGTGAAATTTTAGTCTAATCCTTTGAATTTTGACTCATCCTCTTTTTCCTAACATCATTTCTAGGTTCCTGAAGCAAATTATTAAATGTTGCATATACCCCATAAAACTGCTAAAAAAACAGAAAGCAGACAACATAACAACACTATCATTATTATACCATTTTCCTGTTTTTTTTTCTTCTTCCTTTCTCCTATCATTAGAAAAGCAAAAAGATTATCAATATCTTTCTTAAGATAGTTTTAAGAAACAGCTGAAAGTAATTCTGGTTAGGCAACATCAGCCATATTGAAATCACTAGGCTTTTTCAAGAGAATATAATTAATAAATTTCCTCAAAGAAAAAACTTGTGCTCAAAATTGAATGTTATTAGTAATTTTCCTGCAGATTATGATAGTTTTCTCTCAGGTAGATGAAAGGCAGTCCATCTAGAGGAAGGAAAACCAGGATTTTAAAACTTTGCTGCCAAGCAGCAATATCCACATGCAGAAAAGGCTATGGAAGTATATTCAGACAGAAAATCCAAAGTCCCAAAAAGGCAATTGGCTGCCAACACTGACAACTGCAGTCAAGCAGGCCCCAAAATGTAATGCCCTGTACTCCTTTGGATCTTGTATATATATATATATATATATATATATATATATATATATATATATATATAGAGAGAGAGAGAGAGGTCATGTGATTTAGACGGTGCACATGGCTTCCATATACCATCACCCAGGCCTGTGCCCTAGAGAAGCCACTCCAGTCTAACTACCAAAGGGCTGAATTTTAAAGAAACAGGGTGCTACCATTATCTCACAAGATTAACAGATGCCTACAAATGGTAATCCTCTTAACATTATAGCTATCAAATATATAAAAATGTCTTGTCACCAGTAACAAAAAAAAAAAAAAGAGAAAAAGTCATATATAATCAAAGGCAATAGGAAATATAGTAGCTATTTAACATTTTATCATTATGAAAGCACAAACATAATCAATATCTTTGTTCAGATAATTTTAAAATATAAAGAATGAAAGTAAATATAAGAAAAAAGTTTCTAAATAATTGATATTTAGTTACCATACAAGAATCATGAGTAATTTTGTTTATATTTCAATCTTTATACACATTATCATCATTACATTATAACGATAATGTTCTGAGGATGATATAAATACTGAATGTTTATTAACAAGCATGTTTTTCAGAGTTATTTTCATCTATTTTATTCACTTTAATACCATTTTTTTTATTTCAGGTACCAGTTATTCATATCAATAAGCAATGAATTTGATTACTTCATTATGTAAGAAATTTATTTCATTGAATATTTGGTTATTCTATGAGACATGATATATTTTTTTTTTTTTTTTAAATCATGGATAAAATTGTTTGCTTTTATTATTAAATATGAAACTGACAATAATAATATTAAAAAATTATATCCAGCTGTAGGAATGAATATATATGTGAACTCTTTGCACATAGAGTGGAACCTCGGTTCACAAACTTAATTTGTTCCTGAAGCCCATTCATAAACCAAAACTATTTTTCCAATAGAAATCAATGTAAAATGGATTAATCCATTTCTGGTCCCAAGATGATTGCTTATTTAAACTTTAACAACAGTACTTTGTGCACAAGTTTAAACACAAAACTAATGAAAATCATTAAATCTAAGAAAAAATAAATCAACCCAATACTAAACAGATAATATACAGATGAACACTTCAATTTTACTGTACTTGCATGTAAGAGAGTTGATGGGAAAGTGAAAGTAGAAGGAAAGAGATGTTATTGTTTGGAAAAAGGAAGGAAAGACATGGTCGTCACTTTATTTATAAGAATAGCATAGATCATTGATTTTGCCATATGAAACTGAGTAGGAAGAGACAATATCATCAACAATTGTTTTTCTCTTAACTTTTCTTTTTCCTTTACCAATATCACTGCTAGTTTTCTTTGGAGCAATGACTGAGGACTAATGAAGAGAAAAAAAACACAGTACAATAAAATCGGAAAAGAAAAGCACAGCACAACACACAAATGTATACAACATGGCGGTCGACAAAGAAATGATTCCATTCAGGTTAACTTGGTTCAGCAATGTTGTTTGAGAACCAAAATTTTGTTTGATACCAAGGCATTTTCATCTCAAATGTTATGTTTGAAAACTGATTTGTAAGACATGTTAGATGTTCAAGAACCAAGACTGCACTGTACAAATGAAACAGCATTATCTCTTTGATTCCACAATCTGAGCCGCCATCCATTACTCCACCGTGCCTCTACAAGCACTACAAAGAATTAAGAAACAGCAACGATTAAATCATGTCCTGATTTTATTTAGCTTCACTGCTTTACAATGTCGTTGCTCTCTAATTTCAGAGTTGCCAAAACGAAAAGGTTGTAAAAGCATCTGCCATTCTTTAAACTTAAGGTTCTTGCAGATGCTATTATTTTAATCATTTCACCCCAAGCAAGGTCACAATGTCACCAAGATGCAAGAGGTTACTGAATTTTAGAGAATATGAGAAAAATAAAAAACTATGAAGGGGAGAGAGAACACTAAAAGAACAGATAAAGCTTGACATTGCATCTAAATTTTTGAAGATCAAAGTTGACTGGGAAGCAAGAAGCCAGAAGAGAGTTCCACAAGTGAGAGAAGAAACTGTTAGCATACATCCTACAGTTACATCTAGCCATTTCAACTGTAAAATAATGAGACCTTGCCACTAATCTAGTAATGTGTTTAAATTCATGAAGTCTAGATAACAGAGAGGTAAGTTCATCAGAAGAATTACCATGAAAATATTTATAGAAAAGGCACAGGGAAGCTATGCTATGCCAGTGGGAAAGTGACTGAAGCCAAGATGCTAGGTTAAGACCAATAACATTGCAGATTATTCTTTTGGATTTTATCAAGAATCTCTAAACTTATAGCAGGAGCACCCGACCAGATGTGGCAGCAATATTCAAAGCAAAGATGAATGGTAGACTTCTAAGTATGTAAAATAGAGTCTGGTGAGTAAATTGTCTTGCATGACACAATAAAGGAACTTTCCTAGTAGAAGACCTAGTAATTGAATCAATATAATCTTTCCATTTCATATCAGTAGAAAACATTAGCCCAAAAAGGCCCAATGAGTCACTCTTCTAGAGGTTAGTAACAGCCATGATGGAAAGCAAAAAGTGATTTTAAAAGAGCAATAATGTTTTAAATATTTTCTTTATATAATTTTCTGTGTTGATTCAACAAACCAAACTAAAAACTTGGTTATCTGTAGAGATGAATAAACACAAAGTTAGATAACGCGATAATGCTAGCAAGAACAATTCAATCATCTTCCAAAATTTACTAAAATATTTAGCTTTTAAAATAATAAGCAAGTAAAAAAAAAAAAAACAGAATAAATGAAAAAACATGCTTACAATCCGTTTTCTTGTGTGCCTGTACAACAGTGATATTGTTAGCCACTGGTATATTTCCAAGAACTTGTAAAGCTGCACGCACAATATGTGTGGCATAAGTATTTGTTATCAATTCCTCAAATTTCTCTTTGAGGAAGGAACAGAATTCTAAAAACATTTGACGTGTAGATGTCATTTGAGCACCCTCCTTTGCTTCATCTGTATCAGTGTTGTTCTTTTTCATCTCCTTGCCTGACTCTTCCATATCATCTTCTTGATTTACCATGAGAGTATTGGCATCAATATCAAAAGTCACAGGAAAACGTAGAATCAAACTGTGAAACACATGACTGGCATAAGCATCTTTACAGGCCATTATCCAGTTTGGGGTGAAGGCTCTCCAAAGCATACAAAGATGTTTTGGCTGTGCAGATTTCACCAACAGTTCAATATTAAAACTAAGTATTTTATGCTGGCAAACAACAAGAGCCTCATTTTCAAGTTGTCGGAACACATTTGTAAAAAATATATCTGGAAGAAAGAAAGAAAAGAAATAAAATTAACATAACAGATTAAAAAGATATTCTTGTGTTGAGAGAAAATAGCTATCATGAAGGTCAACCACAGTTAGGATCAGAGTTATTGTGGAAGTGCAAATGATGAGGCCTTGTTCTTGGTTTTGTTATTTTTATCTGGGATTATATCATCCATACACACATTAAATGTATAACCATACACAATATTACATGAAAACATGAAGCAAAATATGAACATTTTTTAGTGTGCATGCAAGAAGAAATAACATATTTATTAAATTATTGACTTTTGATTAAATATACAATTGCTTACATAATTGATCCATATTTACAGAACATATACAGGGTGCGATGGATAAATTTTTGCCATTTTATATTTTTAATTCCATGCAAGCCGTATTGTTTATGATTTTGTCAACTGCACAGTATAGTGGGGTCAGTTGGGCACCTTCTGTGAGAAAAAGAACATCATAACGTAATTTACTATGCTAGAAATTTGGAAATGGCAAGTTGTACTGCTTGGTATTCACACCAGAAGGTCCAATACAAACATTTCAGAGTGTTTGGGTGTCAATCTGAGGACAGTGCAGAGGATTCAGAAAGAATTGGATGAATCTAATGGTGATAACAAAGATACAGCAGCTCGGAAAACTCATTCTGATAAAAGAACTCCCAAATTTGTTGGTGAGGGTCTCAGACTCAACACAGAGGCCTACATCAAGTGCCTTGAGGAAGTAGTGCTGCCCTGAGTCAACAGAGTGACTGCTAGAAGACCTTATGAATGGCAACAGGACTCTGCACCATGCCACACAAGCAAGAGAACCCACATGATTGTCAGACAATTTCTTCAACCACATGACCCCTTACATCTGTTCACCTAACTCCCCAGTCTGCAACCCCCTTGATTATTATGTGTAGTGTGCAGCTAAGAAAGAGACCAAGAAAACTCCTTGTAACACCAAAGATGATCTGATGGCAAGAATTATGGCAGCATTCACCAACTTAAGGAGACTGTCCAGAAGAAGGCTCAAACACTAATATTCCATGGTTATAATTTATTACATTGGAATCGGAATCATGATCCAATTCATCAGACCTACAAATCAAAAAAAAAAAAAAAAAAAATATTGAATTTGTAGGTCTGATGAATTGGATTGTGATTACGATTTCAATGTAATAAATTATAATCATGGAATATTAGTGTTTGAGCCTTTTATATTATATTCTTACTCTGTCCTGGACATTGAATTCTACCTGGATTCTATCTATATCTTTGAACTCGACTCTCTAATATTATATATATATATATATATATATATATATATTATATATATAATAATGGACTCTCCCGTCGGTTTCGATGTATGAGGATCTGACAGCTTATTGATTTAGTTATGAAAGTTTGTGCGATAATCTTAAGTGGCATTTAAGACCTACTAGTGATTTACAAAGGAGGCCACATACGGAGCAAGTGTGAGGATTGCGAAATGAGATCACTGTTAGATTGGGTGACCTTTTAGATCTTGCTCTCGCTTCTTGAAGATGATTCAGACAAGCAAATTGAAAATTGCTGAGTCCACTAAAACATGGCGATCTCCAATCTACCTGCTCCAAAGCTAAGCACTCAAGGGTGTTATGTGGTATATTGACTGCTGACAAGTTGCTTTTCAGTTTGTCTTTGTATCTTAGCCATGGGCGTCCTACATTCCTGTAGTCCTGATCTAACTGGCTGTACATTAGGATCTTGGGTATCCTGTCATCAGACATTCTCAAGACATGACCAGTCCACCGTAACTGAGACTGTATGATAAAAGTCTTGATTCCTCCAATATTACACCTGTTAAACAGGTCTAAGTTAGACGTCCTATCTTGAAGCTTAACTCCACAGATTGCATGCAGACAGCTTATATATATATATATATATATATATATATATATATATATATTGATTTGTATGTATTAAAGCAAAGAAAAAATGGTTTTAGATTTATCTGTATGAAGAGACATCTTTCTTGAGAGCTCATTTAAGGAAACATGTTTTTCTGGTTAAACAATTAGCCAAAACTAGTGCATTATGAGAATTCTATTTCCCTTCCTTTTACTATAACCTAATAAAGCAAGGGACGCAACTCATGATTCTTATTTATGAATCACTACAAAGTCATTCACCAGGAATACATATGGTTTTTGAATTCAAAATTGTCTTTTTATATTGGTTGCTCTGTTTAACTCATAGTTGTAAGGGGAGATGAATTCAGACCTTTCCCAAGGATATTTGCACATAAGTGAACTGAATATAATGAACTTGACTGGAATTTGAACTCGACTCTCTGATTCATTACACCACCTGCACATCACTGAATAGTATTTTAAGCTTTGCTGAGAATTAGAAATTTGATCAACTTCACTTTTCTTAAATCTTTTCAAGACAATTGAGATTAGTTGTTAATAATATTTTTAGCCAGATTTTCAGACTATCCTACATTTTCTTTTTAATGTCTTTATAACACAGCTCAACAACAGATTCCGCTAAAAAAACACTGGACAGAAATTCCACTATCGAAAGTTCCCAATGGCCGGACATCAAATTACAAACTAAATAATACAAGTGGAAATCTTTTTTTTTTTTTTATTAAAATAACTGAAAATTTTACCACACAAAACGTTTATTAAATTTTAAACCCATACGTTAACTGCTGTACTAACACTAAACAGTATCTTTTCCTTTTTCAGTGTCTAAAAATTATACTTGTCTTTCAGTTTCATAGTAACTCTCTAGCCAGCGGTTGCAAAGACATCATAAAAAATGTTGGAATTGCAATGTAGAGAAAGAGAGAGTGATTTTAAATTGTAAAAGATCACTTGGAATATGTCAATTTTAATGATTTACTAGGGATGGCTTAGATGCAGCAGAAATCCGCGGTTATGGAGCAGTCAGTGAAGAATGAAGATCGAACTCACTACACAGTTGTGATCTCTAGCGAGATAAACTTGTTACTTAGACCACGTCGAAGTGCCCTTCGGATACCACTTAATTCTAACTAAAATTATATCCGTTTATAAAGAAACTGCTGACTGTACAAGTTTAAAATTTAAACTTGTACAGTCAGCAGTTTAAACTTTAAATCTTATTTTCCTTCCTATCATTTTTTTAATAGGTGAACATTAATCACAACGACAGAATGTCTTAAAGGAAATGCACTGAAAATATAAACTACTACGTTGAACGAAAATGACAGAGCAGCATATTAATTATATACAAAAAAACTAATAAAATGTGAATAATTGATTAACATATTTGTGTACAATTCGAAAATGTTTCTGTACATAAACAGACATGTATCAGTGCAATCATTGATATGGCATCAAAACAACTAGCACACGTGGAGCATCAAACTCGCACCATTTTTAAGAAAAAAAATCTTTTATCATGTGTCATAAACAGGCACGCTTATATATTCAAAGAAAAATAAACTGTAAAACATGCACATTCACGCACATACATTTTTTTGTTATTTTATGAAGACGTACAGTACACACTCGTACAAAGATGCTTAGGAATTGTTGAACAAATGCTGTTGGCCTCGTCTCCGTTTTACTGGGTGTGATTCAATAATTCCTGCTTGGTATAATAAAGTTTTCTTGTAAAACCACTTGCGCGGAAAAGAGAGGGAGATGAGGAAAGGAAAAATCAAACTTAAGGAAAGTTTTATGGGTTTCATTTTTATATCAAAATTATTACCTTGATCGATTCCACTAAGCGTAAGATCCTTAAAACTCTCGTGAACTCTTTTGTAATAATTAAACGTTTCATCGGAAATCGAATTTCTCCTTTCAGCTTTTTCGGATCTTTTTTCTTGTTTCATTGTTACAACATAAAAAGTAGGATAAGTCTCACTATAAATAACCTTCTTCTTCTTTCTTTTTTTTTTTTTCCAACTTATCGACGAAGAAAATTTCTACCTGCGCAAACAATTCCCATGTGCTACTTAAGAAATTAAACAAATTAGAGCTAGCCACCAATTCCGAATACTTCAGTTGCGAATTTAGAAACACGACTTTGGAAATAATTTAGAGTTCTTAATTAAAGTTGAAAGCATTAAAGATTTCCAGATGTATTATTTTTATTTAATATTGGTTAAAATATACTAAATAATTGTTCAGAAAATAATACGTATTTAACTAACTGGCTATGATATTGAACAGAACCGATCTAGTCCGTTCAAAAAACAAACAAAACTAGTAAATGTCAATAAAACTATTGCGTTTTTTATTTTACGATTCAGAGCAGACGGGGTCCGATTTTACAAAAAAAAAAAAAAAAAAAAATTGATGATTTTAAAATAATTTCTCCAAGAAGTTCTGAATCGAAAAATATCGACTTGTTATAGATTTAGAATGGGGTTCCGTTTACCGATACAGTGTTAAATTAAATTGATTCCTGACTTTTACAGAGTTATTCGGAAATATTTCTCTTAAAGCAATGAATATATGCATTTGTAAGCAACAAAAAAAAAAAAAAAAAAAGAATCACATTCACAATGTATCTATATTCTATTCTAATTCTTAATTTAAATTTAAGATAATAAAATTAATCACAATCTTTGTACATGTACCTCAGATAAAAATTGAACACCATTAAACGTTTCTAAAAACTAAAAAACATGTTTAAAAAAGTTTTGGAAATCGTTAAAAATTCAGAAAATTTTTAAAAAAATATCCAGATCATAATATTTTTTTAGCATATTTTTAAACTTGATTTTTGTAAATAACAGGCCAATAACACTTCAAATTCAGGGATCGATTTGACACTGTATCGATATTAAACTACTCCCTCTCATAAATCGATAACAAGTCAATATTTTTCGATTCTGATAAGTGTCGCGATCCAAGGAAGCTTTAAAGAATGTTATTGTTACTCTCTATAAAATAATTTCTCTTAAAAATGTTTTCTACTTTTTTTATGAGTGGACCAGTCAATTTAAATATTATCAAGACGTTTCTCAAACTTGATATCATATTTTATGAGCCGCAGAAAAATATTGACTTGAAAATGTAAAAAAAAAGCTACACCATCAAGACTGAGATGGGCCATGGGTCAATGAGGGAGGCTGTCGGTATCCTTACCCCGTCCATGTTCAAGGCAGGAGAGCAACCCTAATCGGTTTCATAATGTCTCTGGTTAGCTAGTTTGAATGCCCGAGGCCTGAGGTCGGAGTCTCGCAGGGCGAAGCTCTCTCGTGGCCTTCAGCGTCTCGGGGTGAATATATGTTGTGTGCAAGGGACCCGTTTTTCTTCTCACGACTATGAGGGCATTCTGTCTAGGGGATTCTCCCTCTATTCAGTATGATTTGATGGACGCTCGAGAGGTGTCTCTAGCTACCTCGACCGAGTCTTAGTTAGGAGAGTCAATTTAGGGCTCTTAGGGTGTCCAAGTTTCCATTATATAGTTTATTAGTGTTATAGACAAGCGTATGGTTGCAAGAAAGAAATACGACAACAGTAGAAATAGATTTACGTGGTTTATTTCAACAGGAACGTAAGGGTTTAGGACAGCTACCTTGGTGTGGTAAAGTTCATAAGCCGGCTTTCGGATCTAGGTCGATCTCTCATAGTAGTTCACACATGTTGACGGTGGTTGACGCTCTCCTGCTGACAGCTGCTAAACGTGACCGGTCTCCTTTGTGGCCACCTGTTGACGATATTCAGTCACCCCCCCCACCACCACCACCACCACGAGGGTGTCATGTGGCACAAGGCCTTTTTAACGTGGGCAATCCCGAGCCATTAGGCTCGGCCAAAAAATAGCCCATTTGAACCCGTATAAACGAGTTCTGGGCTGGTTTTACCTCCCCGAAGGAGACTCCGCCCTTCGGCGTAGCCTCCTTCGGGTTCCTCCCGCCCGTAGGAAGAGAGTTTAACCGAACAGTCGCTTCAGAGTTCAGGCCACCTGTTGACTGCCGCTGAACTTCCCTGTGACCCCTTTTATAGCGTTTTTCATGGCTTAACAGGCTCGAGAAACGAAGTGAGTATAATTAGGAGGGAAGCATTTTTATTGGACGAAAAATAGAGCACTTTAAATATTATTTTATTTTTCGACCGGAACACGAAGAATGCGTTGGTGACGCGCTTGTGGGTGCGGGCGTTTTGTGGTGTGTGAGTTTTGGGAATGAGCTGTAAATCGTTAAACTCGCCGAGGCACCAAGATGGGATGTATACGCGGAGGTCTGAACCGCTTACCTCGAATGTCTTGCCTGCCGGTGTAGGGTCGTTCGGGGCTTTCGTTTTCTTATGTCCGCAGCTTCTGCTGAGCATGTCAGCCCATATATTTGATTCGCCTTCAACATATTCCAAGACGAATTTATAACATGAAATTTCTTCTTGACATCGTCGTATTTTGGCATTATTGAACTCTCGTTGGTCCAGATATGTCAGCGATTTGTGGTCGGTGAAGATGACGAAGGGGCGGTTGCGGAGGAAATAATCAAATTTCAATATTGCCCACTTTATTGCATATGCCTCTCTTTCCGTCGTGGACCAGTTCTGTTCCGTGGAGTTGAATGTATGGGAAGCGACCGCTATGATATCTTTCTTCCCGTTGTCGGCTTCTTGCATTAAGATTGCTCCACATGCGACGTCACTTGCGTTGGTGGTGAGTGTGAAAAGTTTGGAGAAATCTGGAAACGAGATGACGGGTGGCGAAGAGAGACGGTCCTTGATTTTTTTGAAGGCTCTGTCGGCATTTTGCGTCCAGACAAACGGTTTATTAACCTTGTTGAGTTCGTGTATGGGACCCATAAGTTTTGAAAACATATCTGACCTGATTTGTTCGTGAAGACGTGTCTCTAGGAATTGTCTGATCCACACTAAACGGCCGATAAGGCTTTGTAATTCCTTTTTGATGTTGGAGGTTTCATTTCCTGGATGGCACGAACGTATTCTGGATCAGCCTTGAATCCTTCGCTGTTTACTATGCGTCCGAGGAATTTTTGCCTCTGATGCGAGGAAGGAACATTTATCGATTCAGCTTGAGTCCGAATTTCGGAGGGCAGTAAAAAATTGTTCGAGGGAGAGTATGTACTCCCTAAATGTCCTAGCGTGGACCAGGTTGTCGTCGATATAGGAGGAAATGTTGTCACGGGATGTGACCGTGGCTAGTGCTTCTGCTATGCAACGGGAGAAGATTTATCCGGCAGATGTAAGGCCGAAGGCCAGGCGCGTGTATTGATAGCATTGGTCCTTCCATGTAAATGCTGTTTTGTATCGGTCTCGCTTGTCGATCTCAATTTGCCAGTAGCCGCTGCGTAGATCAAGGGTAGTAAAATATCTATTGCCTTTGCCGATTTTGTTGAACAAGTGGTCGATCCTTGGCATTGGGTAAGGGTCAAGATCGACTAAGACCTTGTTGAGAGTTCTTTTAAAGTTAGCAACGACACGAATCGATCCGTTTTTCTTGCGTACGGCAAATACAGAGCTATTGAAGCCTTTGGGGTCGCTGCAGTTTTCAATGATACCTTCATCAGCCATACGCTTAATTTCGGTATCTACGTCTGCTTCCAAAGCCTGGGCTATCGGGTGTTGTTTCTGGCTGCGAGACTGGCCGTTGGTTGGTATGCGGATGGGTCGCATGAATGTGCCTTTGCTGCTGCTTTCGATGCCGATAATGTCAGCGTAGCGAATGAGTAAGTTTGCAGTGGCCTCTAGTTCGTCTCGGTTCGGGTGGTTTGGTAGCGATAGTCCCGTGTTATGTTTTAGCCAGGTTAGCTTTTGATCCAGTGTCTGGATGTTGGGCGGTAGTTCCATAGTAGGCTGGTTTTGGGTGATGTCAGCTTGGGCGCCATATGCTGGATCGTTGGTTGACGATGACGGTGATATGATTGCGGCTGTGTGTGTTGTATATCCTGAGGAAAGTGTGCGTCTGAATTCTATAGTCGCATTTTGGTTGTCGATTAGATAGGAATCGAGCGTGTTGTGACGTAGGATATTTTGGCCGATCAGGATTGGTGTGGTTTGGGTAGTTACCAGCACGTTAACCTTTTTGAATGTGGGTGAGCCTAGACTGCCGATGGTGATGTCGCAAGTCAGTTCGCCGAGACGGTGGTGCTGCCGTTGATTCCTTTTACTACGACGTCGGAGCAGGTCATGAGTTTCTTGGCTTCTCTAGGTAACCGAGATATTGGTACGATGCAGGTGGAGCATCCAGAGTCTAGCATTGCTACGCCAGAGAAGGTGATGTCCCTGAAGTTGAAGGTGGACTGGACGAGCGGTGAATGGTGAGCGAGTCCTTGAAAGTTGAAGGTGTGATGGCTGACGTAGGGGCATGGCGAACGAGGCATCACATCTCGTCCTGCCCGAAGCGAAAATCCTGTTCCACATTATTTATGGCTTGTATATTGTCATTCGTTGCGGCGATATGGGCCTGTGCCCGAGTGCGAGGTGGGTGGCGATATATGCAGTTGCGTCCATGGTGGTAGGGGCGACCTCTGAGGTAGTTCTTGCACACGCTGATTCGTGGTGTGTGCTGATGTTTTCTGCGTGTCGGATGGTGGCCATGTTCGGGAGGGTTGGTGAGGCCCGTCTGCTGTGGGTTTGTTGCCTGCTGGGTCGGAGTGGCGCGTTTCTTTGGTTTGACCGCTGTGGTTTCTGTGTGAAATACACAGTGTCGTGCGAAGTTGTGTCGTTGGGTTTTACACCGCGATCAGGTATATTTGAGCTTCGGAGGCTATGCCAATGGCTGAATAGTGGTTGTCCATTGTCTTGACGAGATGTGGGTAGAGATTTGAGTTCCAAATTTTCACCTTTTCGCTCATTAGCATAGCGCCGATGATGGAAATAAGCCCATCGACTGTTAATTCAGTATTTTTGT